CACCATTTAAAGCATTCTCCAGAAATTATTCAATACTGCAGCATAACCAACGAATTCAACCGTTTCCACTGGATAAAATAATGGAGCTGATGTGCTATACGTGGACTTCCTATATAATGTTTTCTAAGTGCCAAAGGAAAGGCTTGTCAGCAAAGTTCAAACCCATTAAATATAAAAAGAGACAATAGTAGTATGGACAGGAAGTTGGCCGAGTAACAGAAAACAGTAGTGAATAAAATTTTTCAAGAGAAGTGCCAGGAGAAACTCAGCAGTTTTGGAAACATTTGTAGAGAAAGTGTGTTTCAAGTCCAATACAACTTTTCAGAATGATTGTTTTCTGCCTGGAGGAAGGTTGGTTTATACTGATGACCAAGAATTGAGTGCAAATGACTGAAAACCTGGATGTATTGAGAATTAGCAGAAGTTTGTGATAGACAACACAAACATGGGTGCAACAGGAGGGCAGCTCAGAAATGTGCTGCAGAGAAGTATTAAGAAATAGATTCTGGTAGGAAGAACAATGTGGCATTATAAAGGATGTAGAGGTTCAGAAGAGGCGAAGGTGTATATACATGTTCTCTCTCTCACACACACACACACACACACACACACACACACGAGGATGGCAGGTTGGGGAAGTGGTTACTAATAAAGCATGTGGGATGTTAAGTACTTTTTAAAACAAATGCATAGGGTATAAAAACACAGAAGTCAAGGTGAATCTTTATAACACACCATTTCAACTTCAATGGAGTAGCATGCAATTCTAGGCCCCATATTGGAAGATGTGAAGCTATAGAGGGTGCAGAAAAGATACTGAGATTATTTCAAGCTATGAGGTGACATGCATAGATTAAAAAAACGTTGGGGCTGTTCTCCTTGGAGAATGTTGAAAAATTTGGTAGTTTTGTTCAGATTAATGAGGGGTTTAGATTGAGTTAGTAAGACCATAAGAAATAGAAACAGGAGTAGGCCATTTGGTTCCGTAAGCCTGCTCCTCTATTCGATAGGATTGCAGCTGATCCAACATTCCTCACAACCACTATCCTGTAGTTTACCCTGTAATGCTCGATTCCTCTGCTGATCAACAATCTAACTATCTCATCCTTAAACATACATAAGGACACTGTCTCCCTTCCTCCCCCACCCCATCCCCGCAGCTCTCGGTGACAAGGAGTTCCAAAGACACCCCCATCAGGGAAACATCCTCTCAGCATTACCCTTTCAACTACATTTCAATGAGATCATCTCCCATTCTTCCAAATTATAAATGGATCCCAACTGTTCACGCTTTGCTCATAAGACAATCCCTTCATACCGAGGATCATCCTAGTGAACCGTCTCTGAACTGCGTCCAATGAAATTATATCTTTCCTTAAAAAATTGATCAAAATTACTGCAGATGTGGTCTCACCAGCACTTGTACAGTTAGACTTGACTACTCTAATACTCTAACCCCCTTGAATGAGGGGCCAATTCCATTATCCTTCCTGATAATCTTCTGCACCTATATGCTAGTTTTCTGTTTAGTGCACAAGTACCCCCAAGTCCCTTTGTGTTGCAGCTTTCTGCAATTTTTCTCTATTTAAATAGTACTGTTCTTTTGTTCTCTCTTCCAAAATGAACAACTGCCCATTTTCCCACATTATACTTGACTTGCCAACTTTCTGCCCACTTATATAACTTATCAATATCTATTTGTAAACAGTTAGTCTCAGCACTGATCCTTGTGGAACACCACTGGTTACAGGTTGCCAATCTGAAAAAGAACCTCTAACCCCCGTGCAGTTTCCTGCCCATGCGCCAATTCTCTATCCGTGCCAGTGTCCAACTCTGTGGGCTCTTATCTTAGGTTTGATCTTTTGTGAGGTACCTTGTCAAATACCTTCTGGAAGTTCAAATGCAACACATCCACTGGTTCCCCTTTATCCAGTCTGGTTGAGACTGCTTCAAAAAAAAAGTGTCTTAAGTTTGTCAGACATGACTTCCATTTCATGAAGACGTGCCGAATCTGCTTGTTTAAGATTATAATTTTCCAAATGTGCTGCTAATACTTCCTTAATAAATGATTCCAACATTTTTCCAACAAAAGATGTTAGGCTAATTGGACTATACTTTTTGCCTCCCTCCCTTTTTGAATAGGCACATCACTGACACTTTTCCAGAATCCAAGGAATTTTGAAAAATTACAACCCATGTAACTTTATCTCTGTATCTACATTTTTAAGGGTTCTAGCAAGAAACTATTTCACAGAGTACAGCATGGAAACAGACCCTTCAGTCAAACTCGTCCATGCTGACCAGATATCCTAAATCAATCTAGTCCTATTTGCCAGCATTTGGCCCATATCCCTTTAAACCCTTCCTATTCATAAAAACAAACATTCAGATGCCTTTTAAATGTTCTAAGTGTACCAGCCTCTACACTTCCTCCGACAGCTCATTTAATACACGCACCACAATGTGTGAAAAAGTTGCAACTTGGGTCCCCTTTTAAATCTTTCCCCTCGCACCTGAAACCTATGTCCTGAAACCAGTCCTAAGGCGATTGACGAAAGAACTAGGTGTGACACGAGAAGCCAGTGGTTAGGATCTGGAAGACATCTTGAAAAGGTGGTAGAGACATGGGTTTCAAAGGGAAAATGTACATCTGAAAATAAAAACTGCAGAATGTAGTGGAGTGGAGCTAGCCGAGTTGGTTGTAAGTAGTCCAGAAGTAGACATAACAGACTGCACAGACGCTGTCTTAAGGTGTAGTGAAACTGTGTTGTAC